CAAGAAGTTTGCTGGTTTCAGGCCAGGCTGGGCCACAGTTAAAAGACATGCGATTTAGGTAAATTGAATATACTAAACTGGCCTTAGTGTGTGAGTGTGTGTGAATGAGTGTGTATGTGTGTTTCCCAGTGTTGGGTTGCATTTTGAAGGGCATTGACAGCATAAAACATATGCCAGAATAATTGGCGGTTCATTCCGCTGTTGTGACCTCTGATATAAAAACTAAGCCAAAAGGAAAATGAATGAATGAATGAAGAGAGTGACTGTGAGACTATGAAATGTTACAATTAATTAAAGAGCCCAAAATATTGAACCTACATGCTCATAAGTCTTGGTATAAGTTTTGCATTAATGCTGAATTACTGTACAATTACACAATTATGTTTCAACTTTAACTCATTGCTGAAATGTAATACTTTACCCTGCGATTATCATCACTCATTTTTATGACAATTAGTTTTTATGATAATTAAGCCATCAATGACAGCTGCAGTAAAATGCAATGAACTTAAATAGTCTTATTAAGATAACCAGGTAAAATATGGTTTTATAAAACATTTCAAAATATTTTGTACTGATATTAGCTTGATAAATAGGAATTTTCCATAAAATCATCCAGAGAGATCTGGCGATGCTGCCTCAGTTCATTCATTAGGCAGTGCACAAAGGGCTCAACAGATCTACCACCAAAACAACACAGACTTAAGGGCAGATGGTCACTGGAAATGAGATCAAATGTCCCAGCAAAAGAACAGCCTCGTTTGCCCCGTGTTCCCTTTTAATGCTGAGAACAATGCAAGGATATACTCTCTGATTATTTCCACAAATAAAAGCAAAACAAGTTTGACAATTTTTCAATCTAAGATATTAAAGCAACCCTGGGGTAGATCCCTGCGCTGTACTGTTTATGTTTTAAATGGTTTCATGTTTCATGCAGAACAGCACTTTTAATCATTTCAGTTAAAGTATCCAGTAAAATTGCCAAACGTCTGCGTGTTAGGCAATAGTCTCTAAACATCTCTGTCCATGTATTTGATTGAGATAACTAATAACCATCTGTCCCCTTATCTCTCTCGCTCTCTCTCTCTCTTTCACTCTCTCTTTTCCCTCTGTCTGGCTGTTGTGTGGCCGTTTTGATTGACAGAGTATATCTGGCATGTTGCCTTTGCTACAGACAGCGAATTGAATCTGTGACAGAGAGAGATGCTTAGCTCTATTTAATGGCAATCACAGATATGTACACACATATTCACACTCACACGTGCGCACACACACACACCATATATATGTATATGCGCTTTTATGATGCAACCCCCCTATTTCGGGTGCAAGATGTGCACATCCTTTAAGGAGATAATATTATTGTTATTAAATGGAAAAATAAATGGCATTTAGGAATCAGGATACAGCTTTTGCAGTCCTTTTTTCTTTCTTTTTAATCTGGTCTAATAATTCACGGGAACAGAGAAGGTTAATAAAATAGTTATACCATGCAATTTTTGTAATAACATGCCTTTCTGAATATGCACCGTGATAATAGCATTATTTAAGAAAGTACCTTTTTAAGTACTTAAGAAACACATAAAAGTCATGAAGTGTGAATAAAACGACAATTCAGAAGCACAAGAGATTTTACATTCGATGTAACCTTTCATATGGAAGATAAGAGCTTTTCTGTTACATTCTAACATCAACGTTTTTGAAAATATGGTAACACTATAATAACTACACACTATGAATCATTTATTAAGCATTAGCAAATACAGTAGTTAACTCATTATCTGTTAAGCATCAATTCTACATTAACATATGCTAGCATGCAATGTTTAACTGCATATACAAATGCTCCATTCTTGACTTATAAGCACATATAAAATGTGCCTAACGATTGTAATTTCATACTTTGCTAGTTATTATTTTTTCATTACTAAATTACTTATAGCATCATTTACAAACCAGTTATGTGAGAGAGGTTGCTGGGTTTTAAAGATTATTCAGAATGCGTAAGTACTCATTTACTTAATAAACTATTTAACTATTAAATTATTATTAATTTAATAAACTATTCAAATTGACATTTATAATTCTTATTATTCAGGCATATACTAATAGTTGATTTGTATCCTAATAAATGCTTTATTAACTCAACTTCATACAGTTTTGTGTCCTTGTCTAGTAAGAACTTTATGTTTCATAAATCCCTTATAAATGACAAATAAAGGCTCAGTTATATTCTAAACAGGGGAAACAAGAGAAAATAAGCGACTTTATTTATTTCTGTTAACTTAAAGACACACAAATGAAACTGTATCAAATGCAAAATAAAACTTTGCAATATTAACTAAAATAAAATCACTGTGCAGTTTAAACATCGCTAAATAACATTGTAATGTTGTATCATATTATAGTTAAATTATTATATTGTTGTTTTTTTATCCAATTATGTCACATTTTGACACTCCAGCAATGTTTAAACTTTACAGTAGTTTTACTTTTTAAATAAGATTGCAAAAATGTATCTCTCAATTTATACTGAGCCTTTAATTTTCATTTTTAAGAGATTTATAAAGCATGAATAGTCTTCACTTTAAGTTACAAAACTGGATTGAGTTGAGTTATTAAAGTATTTATTAACATACAAATTAACTATTAGCATATGCCTGAATAATAATATGTAAATATTTATTTGATAAGTTCATTAATCATTTACTTACACATTCTGAATAATCTTAAATTAGCACCAACTATTCTTAAATACAAATGGTTTGCAAATAATATGATACTTAATTTAGTTATGAAAAATTAATCAGTAACAAAGTACAATGAATTCACTATTTGCTAATGCTTTATCAATGATTCATAGTGTGTAATTATTATAAAGTGTAACCTATAATGTTAGAATATTAGGCACTGCAATGTGGGGTGAACACTAAAAGGTGTTGCAAATCTACATTTAAATAACAAATGTGAAATAATGATGATAAGCCAAGGTTAAGTGCAGAGTGAGGCTAATGTCCACACAAACACATCCTCATTTTAACATCCATTTTAAAATAGAAACATCAGCAGGGTTCCACTTTAAATTAAGTGGCCTTAAAAACTAGGTACTTACATGCAAAAAATTAAGTACAGTGTTGTGATCATATTTGTACTGCACAAGCAAAGGTGGGATAGGGGTCACTTTAGGTTTGGTGGTATTGGTAGGTTTAAGAGTGGGATAAGGTGTAAGGGATGGGCCAATTATAAATGCAAATTGTTATAAATAAAAATTTACAGTGGGGAGAAAAGTATTCAATACTTTTCCTGTGAATAAGGAATTCAATACTATCTCAGTGTTTGTGTGTGTGTGTGTGGGGGGGGGGGTGTCTTAATGACATCTCTCATATTGAGAATGAACTCACATGCATTGCTTAGGTGTGAGTTTTTAGCAGACTTCAACAGAGTGTAAAAATCTTGATGGTTCTGTGGGTCTTGTCTATCAAATCTGATCTTTATTTTGTATTTTCTATTGGATTCAAGTCAGGTGATTGGCTGTGCAATTCTACAGCTTGATTTTCTTTCTCTGAAAGCATTTGAGAGTTTCCTGGTCTGTGTTTTGAATCATTCCACCTTTGTTTCATCTTCCTGCTAATGTAAATGTTGGACTGAAGCAGTTAATATTGATTTACACAGACAAAAGGCAGAGGGTTGCTGAATAACTACTGTGAGTACTGTGAGGAATGTTTTCTTTGCATATATGTATTTCTTTGGTTGTTATCAACATCTGGTGAACATTTCAAGTCAACAGTACCTTTAGAAATATGTTTTCTGAAAATGGTGACGTGTTGAATACTTATTTCCCCCACCATAATTACAGATCTAGATATATTAGGATATTTTAAAAATATAAATACGACATAAAAACATCTATGTACATATTAAGCACATTGTATACCAAAGATTATTACATCTAAGTACAAAGTAGCTTAAGCCACTTATTATAATGATGAACCTAGCAGTATATTTTCATCCACACTGCCAAATACAATAATTATAGCTTGCCTCTTTGAAACGATAGCTCACCTAAAAAAGGTAAATTTGCTCACTTTACTTGCCCTCAAGTGGTTTCAAACCTTTATGAGTTTCTTTCTCCTGTTAAAAACAAAATACTTTATTTTAAACAAAGCTGAAAACTGGTCTTCCATAGTAGGAAAAACAAATACTATGAACGTCTGGTTTCCAGCTTTCTTCCAAATGTCTTCTTTTGAATTTTCATTTTTGTGTGAACTATCCCTTTAAGTCACCTTTGTCTAATACATTTTAAATGCTATTGCCATTCAAAACTAAAATGTGAAATAAAAGTGTACAGACAACTATGACAGAAATTGGATAATTTAACAATCGAGGTGTTTACTCCTGTTTATTCTGTGCTTGAGATAGCAATAAACAAAATATTTCTAGTATGCTACTGTGTGAAAACGAGCTCCAGCATGATGACAGATTTGGTCATTATACCACAAAAGCAATGTAAAACGCAGTATTTTTGTCCAGGAATATATACACTACACCTTCCTTTTGGTTAGTATGGTCTCCGTTTTGATCACCCTGTGTTGAAATCTACTAATCTACCATAGCTTTCAAAACTCTCCCGAGTATAGCATGGATGCAAGGCTTAACCGTGGCAAAAGTTATGCATTATAAAAGGAAAATACACTAGTGTAAACAGCCTGAAAAGCTCTTTACTGCACTTGGCCATTACAAATGTACCACTAGCATGTCAAAGGACATTTACATAAACAGTATAAGGCCTCACAATTTAATGCTGATGGTTCCACTGCTAATCCATGAAATATCATTCTAGAGTCGGATATAAACACCATCTATGAAAGTATGCTCAGTTAAAGGACATATTCTGCGAGTAAAATGCGTTCGGTAAGAGGTTGCACTCTGGGAAAGCAGGATGTCATCATTGGTGAGGGAGGGAAAGGAGAGAGAAAGAAGACTCCTTTCCTCTGACTTACATCACTCAGTCCAGCCTCAAGAATCCGCAGACCACTCTCCTTCTCCAGCTGTCCTTTTTGCTCAACTGTTAAAGAGAAAGAAGGAGGAAAATGTGAGAGCAGATCAGAGAGCAGAGCATGTCATCAGTGCTGATCTCTCTCTCTCTCTGTCTCTCTGTGTGTGTGTGTGTATGCCCTCATATGAACAAATACTGAAGAGTCTGCTGTATTTTAAAACACAGCACAGATTGTAAAACATAAGGCAGAAATATATTTGTTTGTGCTAATAAAATCAATATCTGAATATCAATTTAACTAGAACATTAACCCAAATATCCGCAAGGAACAATCAAAAGGAAACGGCGAGGGTGTGCACATGTTCTTTAGTATTGTTAGCAGTGTGAAAGGATTTTAGTGTATTTGGGGACTTCAGTGTATTGCTCCGGGGAGACAGACACCTTTACAAAAATACAGCAAGAAAGCAGCAGATGTTTGAGCCGGCAACCTGCAAGCACAGACATTTAGCCTACTGTGTGACTCTGGAGGTAAAAGAGCATTGTGTGACTGTTATGGATTTTGTCATATTTTCACATGATGGATTGGAATTGAGAATCCCATGTTTGTATGTGTAGAAAAAACATTGTTTTGGTAGCTTTTTTTGTGGCTTAGTCTTATCTGAGGATCACAGATATACTTTCTTTGATATCTTTTCAGATATTAAAATAATATCAGCTTTGATGAGGAAGCACAATTAATCCTTCAGGACATTTATGTGGTTATATTTTGTTACATCATATCAAGTGCTACATCTGCTGGCATGACTGAAACAGTAAAGAAGAATTATGTGTTATTTATTTATTTTGCTTTTTATATGCTGTTTATAGTGGCATCTCAAGCAATTCAAGTAATACTTATCTTATTTTTAGATAAGAGCAGGTACGGTTAATATATTTGAAATGTGTTGAGACTTTCGGGTTTATTCACTTCCACTAATATTTAGCTGTTATTAACAACCGGTTTTATGCTTCCTTGATATGCTGGAATTTTCTAATCATAATATTTTGTTTGGTTTGCAGGACAAAAGTTTGACACTTTAGTGCCATGTGTTATGTCTACTGATTTATCCAAAGCAGCATGAACAATGATTCAGAACTCGTTCAAAAAAATCTTGCTTTTGCATAGCAAAATAAGGTGGAAACTAGAAGTGAAATCGAAGAATGAACTCACAGACAAAAAATAAAGCAAAAATGAGCCAAAGCAAAAATTTAGGACTAAAACAGATTACCACACCAATTTTTTAAAGAAAACTAAAAAAGTGTGTTTTTAACACACCTCAGATTCTGCGAATGGTCTATGGAGATTAGTGTGGCTATTTTTTGTTCGCTCAATTCCACTTTTCACAAGACTGTCACCAAATTTCCAATTATTTACGGTTTTCTTATAGGGACATACATTAAAAAAAGTTACTGGTGAGTTACTTGCATTAATGTTATATATATATTTTTTTTCTTTAAAAAAGTGTGAATCTCATGCTAAAATACAAAACAGGATTGCTGCTTCAGAATATTTCAGACATATGGACACATTAGTGGAACAAAGCCACAGCACATGCAACAACTTGATCTTCCATTGTTAAATGAATTTGATAAAAAGTGTTAAACATTTTCACCCTAGCCAGCATATTTTTATGTGGGAATTTAACTGATCTGCTGATATGCTGCAACAGCTCCTTTAAATATGAGATCGATCACAAATTCTGATGCTCTCGCCACTGGAGCTTTAAAGGACTTTGACACTCTCACCACCTTTAGTGTTAACGCAAAGTAATGCTATGGAGGCAGGACAGCAAATTTGAAGTTATTTTGATTTTTGGCTGTCGTTTTCAGTCTTACACAATTTTTTCCTGTCTCTAAAAGTCTGGATAACAAATGGGATTGTAAAAAAATGATTTGTTGTACTCTCCCATTCACTGAGCTTTAAGTTTACCCAACTATGACGACTTCTGCTATTGAGAAACCTGGAAATGTGGAATGGGTCCATTTCTTATTTTTCAGTTTGTCAAGTGTCACTGGTGATATAAGAACAATCAACTCTGATACTTTTATCTTTAAATCATTAAGCATTTGATTCCATAATAATGTGATATATAATAATGTCGCAGAGAAATTTGATATACGCTTGATTAATATAAATTTATTAAATAAAACAAATGGCTAGATTATGAAGATACAAAGTCTTTAAAGAGTCCTCCTGCCTTGCAAAAATTATACAGAAAACATTTATGTGGCTTAAGGCATTTTATATATATTTATATATATATATATATATATATATATATATATATAAAAACATCAATAAATACCCATAAGTCAACAGATGGCCAAATTATAAATGGAAAGTACAAAGTTTTACAATAAATAGTGTATCCTCTGCATTCTGGCCATCGCTTTTCAGCACACAGTCCAAATAATAATTAACTGTACTGTATAAGTTCTTTTAATATCCCTGCCTTAATGCATTAAACCACAAAAGTGTTTTCTGTGTAACGGTTTTCCATGACGTACAATACATTCATAAATCATTCTCAAATATGTAATGAAAATGTGTTTTCATCTTTTCAGCTAAACACATTTTTATGTTAGCAAGTTACCGGTGATAATTAAATCATTTTTCATTTCATTTTATTCTCAGTATTTATCTTTCTGGGGAAAAAGGCTGCACTGTCGGTTTTAAAACTCTTTGGGCAAGTAACTGTTACTCTTCCAAGGGATGGCTTTGATGTCATAAAGCTAATTCAATATAGCAGCACAACAAACAACATTTCAATGATGAAATTCCACATTATAAAATTATTACTGTGAAACACAGACAAGAAAATTCATTCATTTATTTTCCTTCAGCTTAGTCCCTTTATTCATCAGGGGTCACCACAGCGGAATGAACTGCCAACTTATCCAGCATATGTTTTACACAGCGGATGCCCTTCCAGCTGCAACCAAACATCAATATACACTCTCACATTCACACACATACAACACGGTCAATTCAGTTTTTTCAATTGACCTAAAGCGCATGTCTTTGGACTGTGGGAGCCACCTGGAGAAAACCACACGAACATGAGGAGAACATGCAAACTCAGGACTCGAAGCAGTGATCTTCTTGCTGTTAGGTGCTAATCACCTAGCCACCATGCCACCCACAAGAAAATCGTATAAAATATATACTAGATACATTAAAATCACTCTGCTTAATTAATAGTTGTCAGCAACAAATAGACCCCGAGACATTTTCATTACAAGAGCTGCGAACAATCACAAACAGTAACTAATCTAAATGTGCAAACAATTAACCTGCCATGTTCTATAAGCAACAATTGATCACCACAAACAGCGTGTGAGAGCGTGCACAATCTAATATGTAGATTTAAGCATATCTTAGTATGACAGAATCAAGCGAAATGCATTAGTCGAAAAAAGCTCAACATATAAGATGAAATGCGTTCCCCTACTTTGATTCTCCGGCAAGTTGCTCTTTTCAAGCACAGCTTTGATAGCGCATTTAGAGAGAGAGAGAGAGTGAATTAAAAGGCTTTTTACAGATTACACAGAAGGGAAAATAATTATACAGTGTGAAATTATAATTGACTTTGTTTACTTTGCTGGAGCAGGAACGTCAGAGGGAGGGAGCCAGGTTAAGAGGCAGCACTGAGATAGTGAAGAGAGAGAGAAAGAAAGATATATAAGAAAAACAGACCGTCAAAGACGCGGGAAGATAAGGGGAAAAAAGTGTGAAAATAAATGGCAAAAGCAAGGAAGCCAAGGTGAAGAATCGAGAGAAAAGAGAAATGGGAAAAAAGGAACGTTCTGAAGTAATACAGAATAAAATGAGTCGAGTGAAAAAAGAGAGAGTTCTTTAAGTGCCCCCAGATGACATGTATGCTAATGACACCGGCAGAGTTGGTCTCCAGTGCTGGTCTTGTCTGCTGGAGACTCGTTAATTAGGATTTTAATCTATCAAAGCCCGTTCCTCTACACTCTTAATGCTACATTCCATATGATTAAGCACGACGTCTCGGACCAATCAACAAGCAGCTCATCTCTTCACATCACTGTCTTTCACTCCTGAATCCTCTCCCACTCTCCGCCTGTGACAGCATTAAAGCCCAGTCTCTATAAACAGGTGTGTGTTTGTGTGTGTGTGTGTGTGTGTGTGACAGAACGGGAGCGAGGGAGTGTGTGAACTAAAATGTCTATCAGCTGCTGCGGTGGGGAGAAAATGAAAGACACTTTTTTTTAGTGTCTGGGTCTCAAATACAGCTGAACTATTCTGCACCACAACATCACTTCTTGAGACAGAGATCATCCAAGCTCACTAAACATCTATTACTGCCATATATAAACTGTTTTGTTGTACAGGCACGTAAATAGAGGCTGCAAATATACCCGCTGCGGTTTGTGCATGGTCATTTTTGTAAGCTGAAGATTTGTTTCGCTTTTGTAACAAGACAAACAAACAATGTATGTTTTTTAACAGCTGTTACAGGTCTGAAGTGCAGGGATATCTTAACATTTAAATAATAGGCTACTTTTAAATACATTTAACTTGAAGTTCTGCTTGCCTGTGGCAAATAAACTCTGCAAGCTCTTCTTATCGATTGAGACCTAAATATTCCACCAAATTCCAACATTTGGCAAAACATTTTTTATCAACCCAAGACCATTTTAAAAACATACCACTATAAACATTTCTAGAGAGCATCAAATATGTTCCAGGATGTACATTTTTTTGCAGTTTTTGTTTTTGCAAATCCACTTTTTTTGTGTACGCTTTTTCAGATTTCAAATTTCTCTTGCAAGTGGCATGTGCGCCTGCTGCTCTTACATAAATACACCAGAGACCGCTGTTAACTGACTGCCTGACTGACTGACCAATCGACTGACCCACCCTCCTCCTTCCCTAAACCCAACCAAAATTGTTTTCAAAAGCACAGATTGACTCATCCACTTCCCTAAATTCAACCAACAGTTTTAAAAATCAATCCAGAAAAAAAGCGCTCGCCTGGTTTTTACCACTTTTCATATTTTAC